TATATATAGGCTAAAAACCTATTTTCGTCTCTTATAATAATTGTTTGTTTCAATTTAGTTCTACTTTTATTTTTTGTCTCAATTTGGTCCCAAATAAATTAATTAGTTTCAATTTGGTCCCTAATAAATTAATTGGTTTCAATTTGGGACTTCCGTCCAAATTATTTAAATGGAGTTAACTGTGTGGCCACGTGGATGCCACGTAGATGCATAGGTGGATGCCATTTTTTTTTAAAACACCTGGAACCAGAACTGCCCGTTCTGAAACCAGAACGGCCCGTTCTGGTTGCACTTTTAGTGTGTAAATTTTGCATCCGGAACGGCCTGTTCCAGGTGCAAAATTTACACATTAAAAGTGCAACCAGAATGGGTCGTTCTGGTTCTAGACTGCTAAGCATAAACGATAAATGATTATAGTTCACGGTTGTGAATTATGGAAGGAAAAAGACCCAAGGTACAAAGCATTTCAAACACTGAATTTGGTAATATTGTTAATGGAAATTGATAACTTCAATTGCTAAACATCTAGGCTATATAGTTTATTATTAAGGACAATGCAATGTATCACTAAAGACTATGATAGCAGATTTTATTTCATTTCAAACTGGAGTGAACCACTTATTACCAAATTGACACTATACAGTAAAGGATGAAATGACATAGTATTTTTCCTTGAAGTCATTAACGATGTACCTTAACAACAACAACCTGTTCTTGAAGAGATAGAACTTGAAGTAAAAGAAGAGGATACACAAGACTAACATTTCACCACAACTGTATGTAGTGACAGATCTAAGTTAATCATAGTGGTGCCCCCACTAAAAATTTTTTCATTCTTTTTTTTATATATATAAAATATTAATAATTTTATAAAATATATATTATTAATTATATTTTAATTATGTTGTTATATCTAATATAATAAATATTTTATTTTAAATGAATGTAAAAATTTAGAAGACACTAAAAGAAAATAAGTTAATAATTTTATTATGTTTATCCTATTAATTTTTATCATTTTATTTCTCTAATTTTAAATAAGTTACAAAAAATTATAAAGTGACACTTAAATATTTCTTCAGACAGAAAGAGAAAAAGAAAAAGTTATTACTCTATTTATAAGACAATTGTGTTTTATAAAAATAAATAATTTTAAAATTTTTACCATAAAAAAATTATTTTTCAAAATTATTATATTTTTTAATAAAATTAATAAAGAATATTCTATTCTTAGTCTTGGAACGGGACGTTCTGGTTCCAGGTGTTTTCACAAAATTTGGCATCCACGTGGCATCCACGTATGCATCTACGTGACATCCACGTGGCCAATAGTTAACTCCGTTTAAATAATTTGGACGGAAGTCCCAAATTGAAACTAATTAACTTATGAGGGACCAAATTGAGACAAAAAATAAAAGTGAGACTAAATTAAAACAAACAATTATTATAAGGATCCAAAATAGGTTTTTAGGCTATATATATATTATAATTTTATATATCTTATACTTTTTTTTTAGTTCTACTTCATCTATAATTTTTTTTGTTATTTCTTTTTGTTGTATTTATGTGTTCTATCATTTGACTATCATTATTATGAGATTTTTTTTTAGTAGTAATGTTAAAACAGATGGTACGACGTAATGACTAGTTAAACGAGTTTTAAAATAAAATGAAGTTAGTGATACTAATAGACTCATATGATATAATTAGTTATAGATTTAAAAAAAAAGGTATATGATGCATGGAAAGTGTTATGTAATCTCTTGTAAAAAATTATAAATTATTATTTATGATGAATTGTAATTTTTATAACAAATAAAAAAAGCAAAAACATCACATGAAGAATTACATATAATAATTTATTGCAGCCATTATCCGGTAGATTTATACCTACAATTTTATTGAGTTAATGGGAGGGGTATGGTTTTAATAAATGCGGATACCAAATTATTGGGAGAAACAGTAAACCTTACTAATGAATTATAAATTAGTGGTTTGGTGAAAGAGTTTCCGCGGTGGGTCACCCCGCCCCCTACAACTACACCACCAATCCCCCAATCTATTTTGACACTCCAAATATAAATAATTTTGTCAACGCCCCCACCAATAATTCGTCCTTATTGAGCTATTATTAATTGCTAAATAATAATACGTAAATTTCAAATATAATACGAGCGCAACCGTCTTTAAACACACAATAGTTTTGAACGCAACAATCTTTATGAGTTTGGCCTAAATATCTTGAAGCTTCCACTGACGCAACCTAATCAATATAAATTGTGATCTTCCAGAAGAGAAGGGATCAGTTCCAGTGAAAATGGGTCCGTCATTTCTGAGCATCGTGTCCCTGTACAGAGCCTACCTCCGACGCTGCTTCGCGGGGGCAGGACTGTCGTCGCGGACGCTCGACGTGGACAGCCAAACCACGCTCCACTTTTGGGCCCCGAGAGATAAATCGGCCCAGAAGGGTTCGGTGGTTCTGGTCCACGGGTTTGGGCCTGAGGCCATATGGCAGTGGCGGCGGCAGGTCCAGTTGCTGGCCCCTCACTTCAACGTGTACGTTCCGGACCTGGTATTCTTCGGAGGGTCCAGCACGAGGTCGAGCGAGAGAAGCGAGGTGTTCCAAGCAGCGTGTGTGGGGAAGCTTCTAGAGAAATTGGAGGTGGAGAGGTTCCACGTGGTGGGCACGAGCTATGGGGGCATGGTGGCTTACAATTTGGCCCAAATGTTGGGGAAAGAGAGGGTGCAGAAAGTGGTTATTGCTAGCTCCGGCGTTAACATGACTAAGACCCACAACGTGGCGTTGCTGCAGAGGGCCCAATTGGACAACATCCAGGAACTCATGTTGCCTCCCACGCCCCAACATTTGCGAAAATTGATGTCCTTGTCCATCCACAACCCTCCCAAAATTTTGCCACATTTTTTCCTTTCCGACTTCTTGGATGTGAGTTTTCTCTTTCTTTCTCATATGTTTGTGGAAATTTTCTTAGTTACCCATTATAAAGGAATGAATTTTTTCAATTCTTCTCTAGTAATATTGGTAGGAACAAGAAAGCCTGAGAAAAAGGGTAAACCCCCATCCCAATTTTGGGCTGGATAGGTTAACAAAAGAGAGTAAAGGATGTGATAAGTAATACGATAAGAAATACAGAAAGATATCAGAAGAAAAAATCTAGCAAAAATAGAAGGAAGAGAAAATGAATATATGAATTAATTTATTTATATCATTATTATATTAAGGAGATATTCTCTTCAATAATCATTTTGATTCCCATTTTTTATAGGAATTCTTTTATTTTATTTTTCATTTGATTTTCAGTATGACAATTTCTTTTAATTAGACTTTTTTTTTTCTGTACAAAATATATAAAGGTATATGAAATATTTCATTACTTAACTTTAAATGGAATTAATGACACTCTTATTATCATACTCTTTGTTAAGGGAAACTATATGATAGTCGTCAAAGGAAAGGGGACAATTGCAATCACAAGCTGTACTGGCACAAAGTTCATTCATGATATTTTTCTCGTTCCTGAAATTGACCAGAACTTATTAAGTGTTGGTCAACTGATTGAAAAAGGATTTAAAAACACCTATTTTGGGCTGATGGTACGAGCAAAAGTGATTTTCAATGTTTTGGTGATGTACTTGTTTTTGATAGTACATATAAGAAGAATAAGTATAACAAGCCATTGGTGATTTTTTCTGGTAAAAACCACCATGCTCAAACTATTATATTTGGTTGTGCTATTGTTTCTGATGAAAGTATCGAGGCATATAGGTGGGTCATGGGTGTTGGAATCCTTTCTAAATGCAATGTCAAATAAGCAACTAAAAGCTGTAGTGACTGATGGAGGTGGTGCAATGAGAGAGGCAATTAAGCAAGTATTTCCATAAGAAACACACAAGCTTTGTTCATGGCATTTGCAAAAAAATGCTTGTCAGAATGTTAAGAATAATAATTTTTGGAAGGATTTCAAAAGAGTAATGTATGGTAATTATACCCCAGAAAAGTTTGAAAGATTATGGAATGAGTTAGTAGAAAGACATGAACTACAAGACAATAATTGGGTTTAGCAAACTTACCAAAAATGGTTTATGTGGGCTACTGCTTATTTACGTGACAAAAATTTTGCGGGTATAAGGACTACTTCTTTATGTGAAGGAATAAATTCATGCATAAAGTCTTATTTGAAGAGAAAAAAATACTATAGTTGAGTTGTTGTACAATTTTGAGCATTCTTTAAGGGATTATAGGTATAATGAGTTGTTGTCTAATTTCAATTCTTTTTATACAGAACCTGTTTTATCCACGTCTTTGCCCTTAATTGAAAAAGAAGCCTAAAAAATGTATACCAGTGATGTGTTTAAATTGGTAAAGGTTGAGATTGTTACTGCTGGATCTTTGAATGTTATTGATACAAATGACAATGGTGATAAGGTTACCTTCACATTTGACAATTATAAGCATCGTCAATCTTTACACAATGTTGTTTTTGACAAAGATGAGTGCAAATATGAATGTGGTTGTATGATGTTTGAATCTTGTGGCATTCCTTGTAGTCATATTATATGTGTTATGCGATATCAACATGTTCATGTGTTTCCTCCAAGTTTAATATGCAATCGATGGTTGAAGGATGCTAAAAATTCAGTTTATATGTCTTATGAGACAGGGGATAATTCTAATGATATGATTATTACTGCACGCTTTGGGGTTTTAAGTGCATGTTTTAATAGACTTGGTCACCTTGCCTCAAAGAGTCGTGAAAGTTATAATTTCATAAGGAATGAAATTTTGAAGCTTACTGATAATTTACAAAAAGAAGTTGGTTTGCAGCACAATATGGATATGATTCTAGTAATGATTATTGTGACCCCCTTGTTGTTAAGAAAAAAAGTGCTCATCAAAGAAAAATGTCAAGAAAAAGAGTAGGAAATGTTCTAATTGTAATTTAACTGGTCATGTAGCTTCAACATGTCCTGTCCTCCTTTCCATGGATTATGACTTTAGTTCCAGTGAGGATACTACAGAATTGGATCATGCTGGTGATGAAAGTGTAAGTAATTTATTTTGAAATATCATTTTAGGTAATTAATTTATTTATTTGACACATCAATTTATATAAGTAATTTATTTTGTTAATTGCAGGAAAATTTTACATCCTCTGATGATGATACTAACAAAGAAGATGGCAGTAGTGCTCCAGTCAAGGTATTTATTTTGTTTAATGTATATCTAAAAAAAGTTTTAATAGTCTCATTTTAAAATCCTACGAAATCCTAAACCAATACACCCCCTAAGACTATCATAATATTTACTAATTTTAATATAATACATAACCAAGTATTATTATTCTTTTTCCATAAATTGAAAATATATGATACATGTCATATTAAAATCAATTAAGACAATGGATAAGTGGTGATCTTAGATTACTCACTAATTTCTTTTTTATTATGAGTTAATTTTTTAAAATTACAAAATCATAAATAAGGCCCATTAAATAAAAAGTATAACTCGTAATATTTTAATCACTATTAATTTTTAAAGCAATGTATTTCTATCATTTTTTTTATTGGATTGAAGAATCAGTAAGATAATCACTCATATATTATTTATTATTTATTAAACTTATTATAAAATTATAAAATAATGAGTAATACTCATTAAATAAAAAGTAAGATCCACAATTTTTTTGCGATGTTTAATAAATTTTAACAACCAATACAGTATATTAAAAACTGTTACTATTATTTGTGTTAGTGAAGAGTGTTTGTAATACCTTTTTATATCATACCACATGTAATAATATATATGAACTCACAAAAGTATGAATGTTTGGTTTCAATTATCTCCTCAACTTTATTTTATGGAACTGCCGACACCGACATGGGACTATCTTGTGTGCACCTGTGGGTGCATAAAAGTTATTTTGGAAATTAAAAATTAAGAATTCTATATTTTTCCTTGATACATTATTTTTATGAATTGTAGAAATTATACGCAGAAAATAGGAAGGAAAAAATGGAGCTTCTAAAAGGGTTAACCATCGGAAGGGATAATACTTCAAACATTTCACCTCTTCAACAGGTAAGCATAGTGTATATGGCTATATGCATAAAGCTCGTAATTACGTGTATGACCTAATATACACATTTTAGTATAAATAAAATATGATATTGGATTTTTGTCATGGCTAATTTATATTAACCATACTCAGGAGGTTCTTATAGTCTGGGGGGAAGAAGACAGGATATTTCCTGTGCAAATGGCTCATGAACTAAAAAAGTATGTTTCTAACTGTACGACTACGTGCCTTTGTTTTTCCATAAAAATATGTGTTTTTTTTTCTTGTATTTTACCAAATTCAAATAACATCTTTTAAATGTTTTTATACTCTCCTTTTTTCATTCAAATCTCCTTCAATTATAGATATTGTTATAAAATCTTGGCCATAAGACTAACTTGAATGATTGTATTCTAAATTCTAAATAATAATGTATTGCAGGGTAATTAGTCAGAAAGCAAGACTGGAATTGATAAAGGAGGCATCTCATGTGCCTCAAATGGAAAAGCCAGAAGAATTCAACAATATTCTCTTAAATTTCTTACAGGAGTGCTCTTAAGTTTTTTTTTTTTTTTTTTTTTTTTTTTAATGAGCATTGTTGTTAATTTACATTAGAGATATATTATGTCTACATTATTTTTTTGTGAAACAAATGTCATTCTTTTTCATTCCATTTAATAATATATATGATTATTATCTACTCAAGGTGTGGGTGTTAAGGTATGTTACTCGTGATTGCGTTTAGCTTCCTCCTTCTCAAGTCTCAACTAGCATCATGAATGGAGATGCCAGTTCCACTTGTGTCAGTAGGAAGGTACCTACTACAAGAGAAAATGAAAACCAACATCTGCATATATACCATTATGGTGTGTTTGGATGAGGAATTTTTATGGTGTGTTTGGATGAGGAATTTTGATAGGGTAATTCATTTATTTGAAGAATTTCAAATTCCTTGAGGTAAAATGCTTTGTTTGGATGAGGAATTTACAAAGAATTTGAAATCCAAGCATTTGTGAAATTCCTTAAAATAGTAAAATTTCAAATTCTCCCAAAAATGGGAGAATTTGAAATTCCTCATATTTGTTTTTCTTATTTCACCTATATATTTTATCTTATCTCTTCATTCTTTTAATTATTGGATATTCAAAAATATTTTTAAAATTATTAAATATTATCTTATATTAATTTTTAAAATTATTAAATATTATCTAATATTAATTTTTAAAATTATTAAATATTTAAAAATGAATTAATATTTATTTTTATAAAATTTAATTTAAAAATCTCAACATATAAATATATTTTTAAAATTAGTTTTACTATGATGGAATCAAATTATCATATTCAACCTAACAATTTAAAATTTAAGAAATTTGAATTGACTCATCCAAACAAAATATTTTAAGAATGATAGAAATTGAAATCAAAGTAATTCAAATACCAAGAATTTAAAATTCTTTAAATTTGTAAAATTCTTCATCCAAACACACCCTTACTCTATATATTGTAACATTCCTATATTTAATCAAACAATTTTATTTTTTTTAATCACAGAACATAAAAATTTTGAACAAATATTTTTAAATATTTCTTCAAAGATAACGTTTTTAAAAATTTTCTCAACCTTTCATTTTTTTATTTATCTTATATTTGTTATTTTATTAGTTTTAAATTAAATTTCAATTTTTAAAATCGTTAATATTAAAAAGAATTATATTACAATATTAAATGTTTATTGAAAATCTATAATATAATTTATATGTTCAAAAATATTTATTTATTATAAATTATAATTATGTAAAATAAGCAAATACCTTATTATGTGATTAAAATGCTATTTTATGTTATATTTATTTCTGAATAATAGGATGAAAAGAGTGAACTTCACTTTTGTAATGTGCATGTATCTCTTGTATTCTTTAATATCAAACGAGTGACTAAAATGAAATGTATATTTTATTTTTAAAATTTAAATAATTAACTTCCCTTTGCATTTTTGTTAATATTTTTATCGATAGTTTTTAATCTTTTATCTCTTTAAATATATGATTTTCATATTTATTTTAATATATTTAAGTCATATTTTCATTTATTTTATTTTTTTAAAAAATAGTATCAATATTTTAAAACATGATCTTACGATTAGTATATGCTTTACTTGCTTTCCTTTTACTTGTTTAGCTTCTAAGTTCGTTTAGAAGGCTTCCTTTGCCTACTAGGGGTTTCGCGCACACACACACACCTACTTTGCTTGCTTGTGTGAACACTTTGTTTTGTAAGAAATGTATAAGGGGGTTTAGTAATTTCCACTTGAAAAGGCTTGGTTATTAAGTGGCTCCTTGTAGCTCACCTCCCTTGATAGTGCAATTTGTATACTTAGACCTCCAAGTACTTAGTATTACACCAAAAAGAGAAAACTATTTGTGAAAATTTTTATCACTCACTTTGCAAATTTTAAGACTTGTGAAAACCTTTTCTCTTGCAAAAATGAGTGATCATTCTCAT